CAATACAATACAAAATTTAAAAGTGATTAAAAATAAATATTTAACTAGGCCGCTTCTACTAAAAATTTTGTTAAAACCAATTTAAAATACCCCTAGGCCAGTCCTGCCCGCTGAAATAACCAAGTCTTGAGGGCGCGGCGGAAGGAGGGGAGATCCGGAATCACCCGGATCTCTGGGGGCAGCTCGTTCCAGAGGGTGGAGTATACACGTAGTTTGGGGGCTATAGGACACATTAACTAGTGTGAAAATAAAATTGAAAGTCAATTGCAAGAAAATATTTTCATTAAATATTTTCTCGCAACTGACTTTTAGTTTCATTTCTTTATTTTATACCGTAGCTCTTCCCATTCACTCTGAAAATGAAAGAAAATATACTGGACTTCTGGGGAAAGTATGGCAAACTGAGAAAGCTCGGTGAAAGTGTAGCCAATGATCACAATAAAAACCAAGGAACCTCTGAGTAGACTGGTTCCTTTAAACTCTCCAGATAAAGAGATGATAGGAAATCATCCACATATGCTTCAGATGGCTGTTCCTTGCAAGGAGACTGAAGGACAGACGTTTTCCTTGCATCTGAGTGCCAGGGCACAATGGGATTAGCCAGCTTGCTCACAACCCTGGCAGAGACCTTTAAAAGAAATCAAATTTACAAACTTTCTAATAGCTTTTGGAAACTACTCATTAATTACTTCTAAGCTAAGGCCTTCAGAATGATACACTTGAAAACATATTCTACTCTCTATTTTCTCTTCTTTCTTTAACTTTAATTTGTATTAGAGTTTACTATTATAATCAAAATCCTTAATAAAAATTGTATATGAAACGAAAGAAAATATACTCATGATACTGCTGCTACTGAAAACGGGAGGGGGGGGATTTCTGATAGTCCAGCAAGGTAAAACACAATTTTATATTCAGAGGCATTGTTTGCACTCTATTATTTCACTATGTGTTTAACTATTACTAATTATTAGCCTGACATTTTGTACTTCCTTTCTGTAAAAAAATTAGTTATTCTCATTTTAATTATAATATATGCCCTTTTTGCTACTTTCTTATGAACATTAAAACATCACCTATACCTTTTTATACCTTGTAATTAAATACTTTATCTTTTTAGCTGAACATACATTTTTAAAATTCTTTCATCTGTTTTATGTTTCATTTATAATTTCGTCTTTACATGGTGGAACATTAGTACATTTCTTTAGTAGTTTGGTGCCCTCTGAATCTGTTGGCAATGAATACTTTAAAAAAAGGACGAAATGAAGAACAGCCTTTTCCCCCAAGTCTTTCTGAGGAGTATGTATTTATTTATTTGTGTATAAAGTCTAATAATCCACAGGGAAAATGAATTATTAGGGAAAGATAATCCAGAAGGAAAGTGAGGAATGACTCATAGCCATTTTCTTTCTGCTATTGCCTCTTTCTTTCTCTTTATATTTCTTATACATATTCCTTCCCCCACTCTTTGACAAAAAACAATAGTTAATTATCATTTCTTCTCCTATACAAAGTACTTTGATCTCCATAATAATATCTTCTGACTAAGAAGATTCAACTAGTTCCATTTTTTTTTCATTTTTCTATTCTTCATCAAGGAGGGATCTGCTTCTCTTTCACCCATGATGGAAAATGTAAGAACATTCATTAGAAAGAAATGTTTAGATGAAATGCATGGAACTTACTCATTTGGGCAGAGCAGGAATAAGCTCATTCAAACAATTGGGCTAGCCCAGGGGTAGGCAACCTCGGCTCTTTTATGACTCATGGACTTCAACTCCCAGAATTCCTGAGTCAGCTATGCTGACTCAGGAATTCTGGGAGTTGAAGTCCATGAGTCATAAAAGAGCCGAGGTTGCCTACCCCTGGGCTAGCCTTTCTGTACTTTCATTTTGTAGGATTTCTACACTGTAAGTTTAACCTATAATTGGTGAAATGGCTGATCTATGTGCAAAGAGTACAGGCACTAAGAGATGTCCGGAAGCAACTATAGAGGATTCAAACATAGATCTGAAGTGGCCCAACATTTTAGACAGATTATATTGTATAATTATTATTGGTAAGCCTGTTTATTAAAGTGATATCCATGCCTAAAGATTCTAATGTCCTCATTTATTTCAAAAAAACTCAGACTAAAATGACTTAGAACATTTTTGAAGAAAAAAGGGACTAGAACACAATTTTGTGAACTATGCTTTCCAACAATATGGCCATCACCTTACATCTATGAAATAATAAATATTCTGCTACTGCCCACTAGGCCACCTCCAAACCCTAAACCAGTTTCTTCCTGGTATTTCAATCCTAGAGCACATTGGGTGATATTTAATATTTAATGATGCCTGTGTTGGAGTGAATGCACAATGCACACATATATTTTATTTATGTCTCTTTTATTATATAAAAATTATATTGGATGAACCAAAACAACTGAGCTGGTTGTCTAAAATGTGATCTCCCCAAAGGCCTTGTTAAGAAAA